ATGGCTTCATTGGACTAAACCAAATTATAAGGTGAATGAGAGGGTCTCTCTTTAAATCAGCAGAAAATATTTTGCATTTGCTTTATCCTTACCTTCTATTTAAATTTAGTATTCAATTCCCTTTCTGTTTCTCTTTCACTGTCTAATGCTGCTCAGTTTTTAAAGAGACACTCTCACTCAGAAATGAATGTGACTATTTAAGTTAATAAAGACACAGCTGACGCTGTGTAGATTCAGTGCTACTAAGCTATAGAGAGATTTAAGTGATTTGTGACACTAAGAACATCCTGCACCTTATGTAATTTTATCACCAGAATTAAATAAGGAGGGGCCTGTGCATGGTATCAGTTCTTGTGGGAAAATATGCTTCAGTGACTTACTGGCACTGGGTTTGGAATGTGGCATTTAAAAGTACCTTTTTACAGTGGGAAAGAATTTGGTCAAGAATAAACAGTCTGACCTTGTTAAATGGACCAAAGTCTGTGCATAACCCAGATCCAGAAAGCTAGTTTTTACCAGTTCGAGAGAAAAAAAAAATGAAGCAGTTAATTAAAAAATGCAACTCAGTTTTCTAGAGACATAATAAAGTAGATGGAACAGAGCCAAAAGAATTGTCACTGAACTGTGGACTTTTCCAGTTTGTGGGAAGTGAGCTGTGAGCTTTAAGCGTATTTTGAACTGGAGTTCGAGAGGACATTAAAAGCAAACAGCATCGTGGATTGTGCCCAGATGGATTCAGGTCTAGTGAATGATTTTCAATGCGTATCAAATCCACTTATATTACCATCAACATTGGAAAATGTAAAATCCATGAATTTGCAAGAAAATAATTCATCGTATGAGCCACATTTTAAACATGAAGCCTGGTGTCTGCAGGCGTAGTCAGTTGACTAGCAAAAATCCTTTAGATATCAATGAAGGCAAAAAAAACCCTCCAAAACACATGGAGCAAAAAAATTACTCCTTTTTGGTTTTAGCTTCAAGCTTGGTTTAGCTTTAGCTTTTTGCTGAAGGTGAACCATCACGCTGTTCTTGAATCTCCAGGGCATGAAATCCTAGCTTCGGTGCAGTCAGTGCCTATAGCTGCACTGTGGACAGGTTCTCAGTCCAGGTTTTCATATTCTGTTTGGGAAATAGAAGCACTTTCTTTGAACTAACATTCAAACTGCTTTGGAGGAGTGGAGTATACTGAGAACAGCAATGACCTTCAGAAATCGCGTTTGATGTACTCAGGTCAGGGGCTTTTACTACAGACTTCCCACAGGTACTTTGCAGAGTACAGACTGCTTTTTTTTTTTTTTCTAGTGTTAGCACAACGGTGTCATAATAGCAAAGTAAGCTTCTCAAGGCCTTGCAGCTGATTCATTTTCAATGAGTGAGTGAATGAAAAGTTCTGTGGCAGCTCAAGAATATGAAGAGGCATTGAAAGACGTTAAGTAATACTTGGAGTACATCATTTAAAAATCAGAGTAGCCAAGTGAGATCCACTACCCCAGCATTCAGTGCTACATAAAACGTATCCATAACTGCAGTTGTCAGCAAAACTAAAATAGTAACATCTCCCCATTATTAAGTGAAGTTCAAGCTGAACTGAAAGATGTGACAGATTAAAAAGCTGCACTAGATAAAATAATTATAGAAAAAATGCATGTTTGTATCAGGTAAACACAGATTAAAAATTAGAAAGTGCACACATTGTGTTTTGACAAGTTTGGATAAAGAATTTGTGTTAAGCCAGAAAAGAAGAAAGCCTCTCTCAATATAAACACTGTTTTCAGATTTTTATAGTCAACGTAAACGTATTCTAAACTGCGCCCGAGTTTCCTGAGTTTCTCGCACTACTTTGTGTTTGCAACATCAGCTATGTATTTACCCTGCAGAGAGTTCTGGAGGCCCTAAAAGGGGTGGAGTTCCCACCCTGCTATGAGAAGTCTCTGTGCACATTCTATGTATAGCCACATTCGACAGATTGACTCCTGCACTATCAAACCGTCAGGTCCTCTGACTGAAAGCAGGAGTCATACACTGCTAACTCTAGATGTGTACTAATTCAGGTTTATCCCCATTGCTAGCATTGGACATTACCACAAACTCACAGAAGAGCAACAATAAAAACTCCTGTTCTTGGAATTTGCAAGCAGTGATACCTTTTTCCCCAAATTTTGCTTTTTGTCCTTAATCTGTATGTATAAATGTTCTCATTTCCCTTGTATTTGGAGTGGATTACATCGTCCAGCTCTGCCTGATAGCTCCATCCCTCACCTTTACAGGGAGCTTTCTTCATCAGTTGGATTCTCCAGGATGACGTTGAGGAACTGCTGTTTCCACTTCTTCACATCATTGTGCAGAAATAATAGTATGCAAGCACCAGGTTGTCTGATTTACATTAGATTAATAACATGAATAACTCAACAGACGATAGCTGTAATTAAACCCAGAAGTCTGAAAAGAAAGCATGAATGTGTGGCAGATGATACAAGTTTGTTGGGTCTAACATTTTCTTCTGAAGATTCTCTACTTGTCCTTTCATGTGTGGAACCCGTTCAGAGATGAGAGTGTCAACCTCTCAGTAATTTCTAGGTAGATGCATTCTGAAGTGGAGAAGGGATGTCCTTCAGACCTGACTAAAAATTCATTTCAGGACTGAAATGTCCTGCTCTGAATACTGCTTTAGGACTTCCCAGAATTAATATGTTTGTGTAGGTGCGTTGTCCAACTGAGGAGCTCAGCAAAACTGTTCCCTCCTGCATGATTCTGCTGCAATCTTCTGGAAAATTGCTTTTGTGAATTGTATACGTTTATGTGTGGACTTGGAACAGTATTGACACTGCAAAGTATCCCCACATTTGTCCAGCAGAACTGAAGTTGATGGGCTGTAAAGATGACAGAATCCTGTCGGGTTAAGTTCATTTAGGGAAACTACAGATTTATTTTCTGACATCAGGAAAGAAATTTCCTACAGCTAAGCTTTTGCTGTCATAATTCCCTCAGCAGAGAATATTCACTTTTAAGATCCAGAACATCACTGTGATAAGGGCTGTACAAATTTCTAGTATTCTTTCATAGCGTTTTTTAAGTTCTTTATCACATTGTATGTTTATGGAGAAGTATTGTATGTTTCTACTATGATAAGTTCCTAGTTACTACATTAATTATTCTTAGTTGATGAAATGCTTCTAATCAAGGATTTTAACTCTATCACCTAATCCTCAGGGGAAGGGAGATTCTTGGAAGATCTTCCTGCTATGTTATACAGTATCCTCTGTGATGGTTGTGAATGTGTAAATTACGCATACTGTTCTTCATTCTTGGGGTATTGTCCTCTCAGAAATGCAATTTAAATTCATTTAGATTAAATTTCAGGGTTTTTACATTGTCAATCTAACTTATTTGGTCAGGAAGTGAAAATGAGGAAGGAATTTGGAGATGTAGGAGGAGCTCGACTGCTGTTTTATCCCAAGTGTCATAAATATACTTCAGTAATTTTTAAAATTGCACTGTTCTGGTTAGAATAAAGAGCATCCTACTTCTTTATTTCCTGCAAACGTAGTATATTTAATGGCACATCTCAATCATTATGCATACCTTACATATTGCCAGCTGGGAGGCAGGAGAGCAATAAGAAGGTGAGGAGGCAAAAGAGGACAGGGACAGTCAGTTCTTCATCAGGGGAAATGCTGCCATACAAATACAATGTCAGGGATTTGTCACTGTTGGTTTTTTTCCTCTATTTTTGTTTTATTCTTCTTGTTTTTGTTTATTTATTATTGTTTCTTGTTGGTCTAGGCCAACAAGAAAGTGTGTTTGAGTTCTGCTGCTTTGCACTCTGGACAGGCGATGTTTCTTTTTTATATGCAAGCAGTTTATTTGCCACATGGCAGACGTTCTTTCCTGGTGAAAATGTGAAATATTATACCCCAAATTTGCAATTAATGTGACAAATGACATAAGTTCTGTTCTTTTCTCTGCTGACAGTGCTTTGCAATCAGAATTGTTCCAATTCAATTATTTAGTATTTTAAAACTAATTACAAGACATTCCAGAAACCTTTAAAGGTCCTACCTTCTTGTAAGGCATTGTGGCTTGCCTCATTATCTTTGTGCCCACGTGGCCTTAGACAGAAAATCTTAATGGTGCTTTTCCATTTTGATGATGGCTTGGTGGATGAACTAACCACTAATATCTATGTTGATCACTTACAGACTTAACATGGCAGTATACCTTATTTAATAAAAGGAAAATGAGTGAGTTTCGGTAACAGTTTCTCAGTTGCTATAGAAACCATAGGATACTTGACTGCTTTTGGACCCCTATCCTTTGATATGCCAAGTGGTTTCTGTGAGGTTTTTAATGTTCTCATCAGCCACTGAACCTGCAGTCAAAATCAGACAGCGAGGACTTCAATCCTGTGACTTGAAGAGAGGCAGTTTCTAACTTAGCTTTACCTACTAGAGTTACCACCTATTCTAATGGGGTTTCTTTCAATGGCCTGCAGCAATGAAGACGTATCCACGCAGAAACCAGGGCCTCAGCTCAGTGTGCTGCAATTAACTCATATGGTGAGACCTACATCCTTAGATGTTTTGTTTGGCTATCAGTTGCACCTGAAGAGTTGTGGGGAGCAAACTTTTATGTCATGTCAACTAGTTCAGTATCGGTCAAACCTCAGCTGAAGGAAACGGCACCATTTTCCAGGAAAGCAGAATTGCCCACACAGCAAAAATCTGTTATGACACAGTATTTTTAGTCATAAAGTGGCCTTGGTGTGAAAGGGAGATTCAATTAGATGTCTATTGTGTTTTCAGATGCAAAATTGCTTTGTATTCAATTGATTGTGTGAGTGAGTAAGAGCAAGAAGCAGATGCTTTAACGGCATACAGATAGGAAGAATTTCATTTCTCCATTTCTTTTATAACTTATATTATGCTCCATGTACCAGAGCAATTAATATGTAAAGTAAAAAGTCACACACATGTTATGACCACGAGGATTTCCCAATATTCAGGGGTGCTGGTACCTATGTGTTACTCCTGGCACCTTCCGTGTCCCAAAAAACAAGCAGAAAGGATGGGGAATGGAATAGAATCATGAAGGAAAGTCTTTTTATTTTCTTCTTTTCACGTGAAGGTTTATAATTAAAGGGGAAAGTAAATTAATTACATGAATATTAAAAGGTTACTCTTCTATTCTAACATTTGGTCACAAGTTGTCTAATGAAAAGGAATGCAGGCTGGAGGGCTGCCATGCCTTTGCTTCTTTCTGCAGAGGGCCACAGGCTGAAGCAGTGATTGTGCGTGACAGATTCTGGGAACAATGAGCCTGCGCACAGATTATCCAGATGGAGCATGCTTTTCTAAATTACACCAACAACAGGGTGGCCCACAGGCAAACAAAATAGTTAAACAATACATAATAAAGTTTTTATTTGGTATTTCCTGTGAGCCTCTGCCAGTTGCCAGGGAGTGTACTGTATTTTTCTTTTGCTGTATTAATTGTTGACCACAACTGGCAAAGACCCAAACTACCAGGGACAGATAAGGGGGGGAAAATGGCATCTGGACACTAAAGCCTCAAGTGTACTGGGAAAAAAAAGCACAAAAAATTACAGCATATATCTGGAATTTTCCAACTAACGATGTGCGGATGTGGTAGCGCTAGGGAAAAAGAGCCAAACTGAGCCTGCTTTGTTCACTAAGAGAGGCCCCCCTGTAACATTCCTTTTAGCTGTGCATATTTTGGCTTCAGTTGTGCAGTTTTAACTATATACTGTGTATGGAGCAGTTCAGTTGTTGCTGCATGAATTTAATGATTTTGTTACGAGAAATAAAATGCTGTCAGAGCATGTGAATTTTTGTTGAACTTCAAGATACATAAATAGAGGCTGTGTTTTAAATGTTAAATTATAGGTGTTAAGTTTTCAGAGGAAAGAGGGAGAAAATTTCATTAAGTACAAGCCATCGCTGCAACAGCTGCGAGGAGGAGACCCTCAGTAGCAGTGAATGCTGCCTTTTTAAACTCATCAATGAAATCAGTCCTTACCGTTATCTGCTTTAGGCAAAAGCCCACAGTATAACATTAACACTTGGATAAAAACAGGAGGTTACATAAACATGCAAGTTTGATACTGTTTTTCTATTACCTTTGTCAATATAAACAGTTTAGGTATTGGCATCTTTTTAAGGAAGTTTTATACTCCTGATTTACTGTACACAGTGTTGTGATTTTGTTATTACTAGAACACAGTAGAAAATAAACAAGAGCAGGTTGCTGTTATTTTCTTCTACAGTTCAGATAGCCTTGCAGGTATTATTAGGCAGCTTCTCCAAAGAGGATGGGAGTTGATGTGGAAGTCGTCAGGATGTACGGAGAAGAGAAGCAACTGCTTTAGGCAGTGATGGGGTTTGCAGCTACAGCAGGTCCATACTTCAGTTGGTGGGAAACAAATTCTTGTTGTGAGCTTTAACTGTCATAGATATTTACTGCATTTTTGGATGTACTTGGACTGTCCCTTAGTCACCAGCAACCCTTGTTGCCTTGCTTTCAGTTCCAACTCACATGCTCGTTCTGGCGTTAAGTACTTTGTTTTTTCTTTGTTTGTTTTTTTGGTTTTAGGGCAGAGATTTTTGTGATTGGTTTTAGCTGCAAAATATGGAAGTCATCTATTCCATTATTTCTTTTTACATGTGCAGTTTTCTCCTGTGAAAAAAAGAAAAGCATGTGAAAAAAAGTAACTTCTTCACTTGGTGTTCTTTTCATACGCGCAGTGCTTATCAACAGTGCTGAAACTATGGATCAGTAACATAGATTTCTTCAATTTGAGCTTGCAGAGTATCTGGTGTAGCGGCTGACTGTCACAAGTAGCTGATTATACTAGAAGGAGGCAGGACACATTGCCAGTGGATTTCCCAGGTATTAGCTCCCATTCATCTTCCAGCACACTACTACTGGTATATTTTCCCTTCAAATCTGTTTTCCTGCCTCTCCTCCAGCTCAGTCACTTTTATCAACTAAATCTAGTTCCCACCCCAAATCCTCTGTGGAGTTTGCCCTTCCACTGGTACCAATCATGCCCATTATCATCTTCACTATCATCCTGGGTCTCAGCTTCAGGCCTTCTTCATCAGCCCCTGTCTCCTCATAGAGCTTTTTGTGGATCCTAGTCTCATATGCCTTATTGCCTTCTTCCCTAGATCACTAATAGTCTTCTTTTTCAGTGAGTGTCATCTCTCACGCACATTCCCATCCTAGATTGTTCTTTAACCCAGCAAAGGTGTGTTGGGCTTACATACACTATTCCCCCAGTCTGTCCAGTTATTTTCATCTCTGCTGCTGAGTGTGATAGGTTCTCCTTCAAACATGGGATAGACCATTTTCAGAGTAACAAGCTTTCTGTGCAGTCAGGAGCTTGAGATACCGTGATGGACCCTCAGCTCCCTGCAGCTGAACTCAGGTGTGCTTTCTTAAAACTAAACTTTCTGAAAATACAATAATTATCCACTGGTATAAAACCTTACTGAGCATGTGCTCTTTTTCAAATTTATAACATGGCCAAATTTGCATCCAAATCTTACAAGGATGGTGTAGAGGTCAAGTTCCACAGCCTTTGTTTCAAAACATGGTGGCACCAGAGCTTCTCAGAAAGAAGGTGACTAGAATTTGAGATGGACAAACCAATTGTGTTTACCTAGCCACACTCATGGAAATTTCTGAGCTGCTTCAGCTGAAATAGTACAATAAAGCTGAAATATTGCAATAAAGCTGAGTATAAGACAGAGAGATACAACACAGAAATATTTTTGTAATCATTGAAATCTTGGTAAAGTTGTAAGCTGCTTCAGTAAAGGCAATGCTGTCAGCTACCAGAAGGAATGTGGAAAGTTAGGAGAGTCTCAAAGAGATTCTGATTCCTTCTGTAGAAGCCAATGTGCCTATGAAAATTGATTCTTTTTCACTTGAAAGAAACTATGTGTTTCCAGTCCCTAATGGAATCTATCAATATAATTAATGCAAAATTAGGGACATCAATTGGTCACAAACTGCCAATGTGATATCAAAACACTACATCATGAATAGAATCAGTTGAAAGGCAGAGATTAATATAGCTTGATACTGTTCACTGGCAGGCATGAAACTTCCTGAGTACTATTGAAATCAGTAAGCAAAAGCAGGTCTATGCTCGGTAACATAACCATAACAATATTGAAATTGCTTCAGAAATTGTCTTTAAAAGTCGTAATTTTCATGTAGTCATAGAATTCTTTGGGTTGGAAGAGACATTCAAGATCATCTGGTTCTAACCTTCCTGTCATGGGCAAGGACATCTCGCACTAGATCAGGCTGCCCAAAGGCCCATCCAACCCAGCCCTGAATGCATTCAGATATGGGCCATCCACAGCTTCTACAGGCAACCTGTTCCAATGCCTCACCACCCGCATAGTGAAGATTTTTTTCCTTATAACTAATCTAAGTCTACTTCAGTTTAAAGCCATTGCCCCTTGTCCTATCACTACATGCCTTTGTGATAAGTCCTTATCGAGCTTACCTTGTGCCCCCATTAGGTACTTGTAGGCTGCTTAAAGGTCACCCTGGAGCATCCTCTTCTCCTGCTGAAAAACTCCAACTCTCTCATTCTGTTGAAAATTTCCTTTCCATTCTCCACCCGGCTTGTATTTGAGCTTGGATTCATCCTGCCTCAAGTGGACAACCTTGCACTTGGTCTCATTGAACGTTTTGAGATTCACACAAGCCCACCTCTCAGAGCTGTCCATCCTTTCGCCCCAGCGTGCCCACTGCATCACAGAGCTTGGTGTTGCTCAGAAACTTGCTGAGAGTCCACTCAGTTCCACTGTCCATGTCACTGAGAAAGATGTTCAGCAGTACTGGTTCCAGTACCAACCCCTGAGGAGCACCAATTGTTACCAGCCTTCATTTGACCATAACTCTTTGAGTGCAGCCATCCAGCCACTTTCTTACTCACTGAGGGGTCCATCCATGAAATACCTCTCTCACCAATTTAAAGACAAGAATGTCATATGGGACATTGTCAGATGCTTTGTACAAGGTCCAAGCATATTACATTTTTGCAACCTAATGAGCTATTTTTCAGCATAAAGTATGTAACACTTCACTGGAAGTCAGATTAATTAGAATAGGCTTCATTTCCCATAAGTGCTTTGATTCCTTGTCCAGTCAAAAACTAGGCAAGCCTTTGAAAAAGGAGCTGATTTATATTTTACTTATTCTAGGAGTGGTAAGTAGTCTGTTCTGTACTTGTATGAGATTTACATTGGTGCCTCACATGTGACCTACATCATGTACATGACATTCCTGTGTATAGTATTTCCTTGTGAACTGTCATCCCAGGACCTAGAGACAGGAATGGCAAGATAGTTAAGAGAGGTCATCTACAGTACCTGACATTATTGTTCAGGTCTATAATTGTTTTAAGAAGTACTATTAGTCTCCACATAATTACTTTCAAGGCATATTGCCAGACTAACACTTCAGTTAATCAGAAGAAGCACTAAAGTCCTCTCTTATTTTTGCTGCAACTGAAAAGATGTAAAATCCATTGTTTTACCATTAGTTGCACCGTTTCCTTGCTTTCCTTTTACTGGATTATGCTAGAAGATTTTTTTATCCTTGTTCCTATTTCATTTAAGTTTCACTTGCAGATTTTCCTGCAGTAGCCCAAAACAAAACAAAGTTTAACCAATATTTAAAGTTGCTTTGTAAATGAAATTTTAAGAAGACATCATTTAGGCCTATGTTTTACAAAACCTTCATATTACAAAACTAAGTTGAATCTCAAATCAGCAGTATCCTTCTAACAATCATCCTACTGCCTATTCTTGTAAACTTCTAGTGTCTTACCCTAATGATTTTAAACAGCAGTAATATTACCTCATGATATTAACAAAACAAAGAAATCTAAAATAATTCTTTGGCTTTGATTATAAAAAAAGACTTTTTCCCTGCAGACTGCCATTTTCCAAGAAAAACAGATAGTATTTATTATATGTAACTGTATCCTCTGTAGAACACATAGGCTATTTCTGATTTTTGTCTCTAAGATTACTATCAAAAATAATAACAATTAAAAACAAAGATAGAAATGATTCCACTTCTGATGTCTTCCTCTAACACCCAGAGCTCCCACTGAAATCAGGCAAAATAACGTGTGTGTTTCACGTCAGACTACAGCTTTTTCTGAGCTTCTAGTTGGCTTGTTTAACACACAGACTGATAATATTGGCTTTCTTTTGCAAGGCATTTTTACCTTATAGAAATAGGTGAGTTTCTCTCAGCTTGTTGTAAACCTTCCATATCTTTAAGTTTAGACCCTTGGACCATGTGGCATCGTTAGGGACTGGTGATCCCAGTGCCATATGCACGTGGGCTTGTTCTCTCTGCAGAAGCTCTAGCTTCTAGCTCTGCTCCCCTCTTCTCAGTGTCTGCAGAGTCATGCGCTGAAGGATTTCCTGGCCACAAAAGGATGTTATTTACAGGAATTCCTCTGAAAGTTCATTGAAGAGGGGAGGATATCGATGTCGCTGACAATCGGCTGTTAATTCTGTGTAAGTGTTCTGGAAGTGGCAGGCGCTCTTAATTCCTTGCAGAGATTTTTGCATGGGATGACTTTCTCTGTACAGATCTTTGTGTGGAAAAGGCATGGGCAGGAATCATTGTGATGATGGAGAAACACGTAAGGACAACAAAATTGATTTTTCCAAGGCAATGTAGTCAACTGGTGGCAAGGTTGATGTTATCACAAGGGCTCTTGGCTCCCTATCTCAGACCATTAAAACATTTACACTAGCTCTCTGAGTATATTTTCCATTTGATTTATTCTTCTTATTCAAGGATGGATTACATATTGAGATAACCAGATTTGAATGCCTTTTTCGCATGGCTATTTTTATTTTTTTCTAAGTATTCTTCCAGATCCATGAGTAATTCACAGGGCAGAAAAAAGGGCTGTGACACAGGAGGAACGCTCCTGAATTTTGTATTTTCCATTCTTAAGCAAAACCTTTTAAAGTAGCAGGTCTACTTTCCATTCTGAGTGCTCCCATGCATATCAGCTGGTCTTCAAGTGTCATTCCTCCCTGAGGAATCCCGGCAAATATCTGATTGGATATGGAGAGCCAGAACATTTCTGTGTAAATTGGATGTTTGTTTCTCTCAATATGCTCATGTTTCACAATCCCTGTGCCTATAAAGGATATCCATTGCCCGAAGCTGGAAATGTTCACTTTGTAACATGCAAAGCACAGCTAAACCCAGTTCTAGATTATTAAAAATACCAGTCAGTGCAGCAGCACAGATAGCAGATGCAGCATGTGTGTGTTAGTCCATGCTTCCTTAACCAGCACTGAAATCAGAGTCTTGTCAGTTGGATACCTGGAAGTAAGTTCAGACCTTCAGTGAAACTGTTTCCTCTCTAAGGCCTCTGTGCAGACAGTGTACAAGGGGTTAACAAGGGAGCTACTCTGAAAACAGAGGCAGAAGGTCACTGGCGGCAACAGCAAAGACTCCTACAGCCTGCCATGGAGAGCCTTTCACCCGGCGTTTCCCACCCGGGGGATTGTAAACATTGGCTCATGGCCATGGCGTCCTACAGAACTTCTCTTTACTTTCAGCACATACGTTTATACGTCTTAATGGAAACTGAAGCACAGCAAGTTATTCCCACATGTCCAGAAGGAGAGAAGGAGCTTCTGTTCAAATTAAAGAGATGAGGGAAAGAGCCATTACTCACCCTGGAATTTGAAAACATAGAGATACGCGTGTTTAGTGGTACTTCACATGTAACATAGCTGCTGTTCTCAGGAAAACTTTCTCAACTCACTGGAATGTGTAGAATGCTGTCACTTCATCAGGATCCAGAAGAGCTCTTTTATCTGCCATTTGTTAGCAACTAGCAATATTGTTCTTATCTCGTTGTCCTTTAGCCTGATGCAGTGCCCTCAGACACGAGAACTTGTAAAATGAAAGCACTCATTACCTTGAACATTTTTTTTTTATTGTCTTGCTATTATCTCTCTAGCTTAAACAAGATGCTTTGTATCAATTTTGAGAGAGGCGAATGATCTGAAAAAAAGCTTCTCTGCAACATCATTTTCACAAATACGACATTTTATGTTTCTATAAGACCATAACCACTATGGAGTAGAGTCTTTAGTGACCTAGACTGAGTCAGATATTTTTTACCCAACCTATCTATGCATAATTATTTCCCTAAGGAGAATGATAATACAAGCTTTAATGTTAAGAATGGGAAATAAAGCCTTACAAGTTGTAATACTGGAGCAATTGCAATATTCTGTTTTACTGCTAAATTTTCAAAATCTTAATTTTAGTTTAGAAAGTCCTCTAGAATTTACAAATGGAAGAAATTTTCTTTTGTGTTCTTTGAAAAAACTGAGCTTCTCTTTGTACTGTGAATCATAACTTTTGGTTAGTGAGTGATGTATCAAGTAACAAGGGAGGAGATGTTGCTTCTTCCTTCACAGGATAAAGTGGAGTGCCATCCTCTAGAGGTTTTATGAATCCCATCTGTTAGAGTGAGAGGGAGAATATAATCTGTCTAGATCCAGGGTAGACTTCAGCCTGGTTAATGTAATTAATGCCTGCTTTTATTTTTATCCAGTGATGGTCTAATGTAAAATGCATACACATTACAGAGAGTAGTTATCCAGAAACTCGGCTCCTCGCCCCCTCCAGCTGATTGTCCTTAAGCTCTCGGCTACTTTCAGGCAGTCTTGCCCCATGACTCATATACTCCTGGCAGAATGGTGACTTGGCTTGAGCAAAGGCGAGGAAAGAATTGTCACCCAAAAAAACCCTGGCCTAGTGGTCAAATTATTTTCTTGGATGTAGGAGGTGCTTGGTAAGTCCCCTTCAGGCTGAGTTTCCACTTTGAGATTAACATAAAAACATCTGTAAAAGATGTTAATGTAGATGCAGACATGTATTGCTTCTATCACCACTCTGAGTCACAGCCTTCCCTAGGTGGGACTCCATGTGGACTTCTGTGGAGAGCATCCAGGTATCTAGGGTGCTGTCTGCCTAAATATACTTCACATGCAGTAGAGCTATTTGTTCCTGCAACATAGGCTTTTTCAATTATGTGATCAGCTACTGTAAAGATTCACAGACACACAGATTAGAAGAAGAGGAATTTAGCCAGTAAAGAAAGCTTATAGATTTGGAAAATCAGTGGGTTGTGCCCAGTGTTTTTGTGGATCTGCAGTCTACAAAGCTATTAAATATTGAGATTAAAATACTCTGGAGCCTCCTCTTACCCTTTCTGTGAAAATCTTTCTGCTTTGCCATGAAATTATAGGCCTACAGCAGGTCCTTGTCTTGGCTGTGGTCATGTATGTGTACATAAATATGTGTACCTATCCATATGTTACACCTGTGTATGGAAAGTTAATCTTTTTTGAAAACCTTTATGCTTCCAAACCTCATTTCTCATTTGTTTGTAGAAACATATTTCATGAGAATTTTTGTTTCCTCAAACATTATTTTGAAGAATCTTGTTTAGTTCCATTTCTAATGTATCATTTACACTTCTGCTTACTTTAATTTAAAACCATGCATTTATTGAGACTTAAGTAAAAATCTACCATGTTCAATTTCAGATGTAGGACAGATTTGCAGTGTTCAGAGTTGCCCAAATTCTTAATACTGCAGCTGTAGACAGGTCCATCTTCATTGTCAGCTGTCATGGTGATAATATGATTGAAGTTTGCACCCTTGCAAAGCAGTGAGAACAGAGGCATCCCAAGAGGAGCTTTTGTTGCAGAAAAGCTCTTTTGTTTGCAATCCTGGGTTCTTTGGGGGGATTGCTGTAATATAGGAGGTTTAACTGTAAGCTATTGCTTCATTTGAGTATCATTGACAGATGTTGCTCCACCAGCCATTTTATCCTATCATTGGTACTTTGCCTCCAGGCTTTTACTTAAGCCTTGCTAGAGCCTTTATCAGCAGCAGCACAAGTTTACATTTTTAGCAGGGGCACTGCAGCACCAATCTTCTTCAGAGAAGAAGGGCTGTGTGGCTGCAGAACTCTTCATAATGTGCTAGAAGATCCCACCATACCATGGAATACTAATGGGGAAAAATTACAACAATTAGTGTCATGGTAAATGGATATGTCTCATAGGAGTTGATAGGACATAGCAATGAACAGAGCTTGAAGTGACAAAAAGAATTTTTAATAGTGATATCTAAAATATAGTTTCGTTATAGAAAAAGTAATATGAAATCAGTTTTATAAATTACCCAGAAAAATTTCTTAATTTTAGGTGTGCTGGAGACTACTCTTGTCCAAATCAGACTTTAAGTAGAAAAGACATTTGAAGAAAGATTAATTGAGATTAAGTTTATTTTGCCCCTGTTACACATTCTTGATGTAGACTAGGTAAGTACTTAGCAACTAACCTGCAGATGCACACATGCCCTCTGCACACACTGCCAGTATGCAGGCAAAGTACAGCTTTCTTAAATATGCAGTGACTGTCACTATTTGTATCCTTACTTTCCTTATCAAGTCTTGCCATTAGATCAAAGCACAGCATTGGTTTATAAGTTTCACTCTCAAATGAATGAAAACTGCATCTTGTGGAAGGTTCTTGCGGCAAATCTTCCCTCTTAAAGAGTCCCAAACTAGAAAACTTTTCTTAATAGCAATATATAACAATCCCAGTTCCTACTAGAATTCTTTGTTAAACTAGCACTCAGTGGTTATATATGCCTGTAAACGGTATGGATTCTTTCCTTCTTTTTCAAAGTGACTCATTTGTTCAAGCCATTTTTGATGTTATTTCATTAAAAGCTTTTTAATGCCTCATTCTGGAAGCAGATGCAGAGACCACAGTAAAGTCTCTCACCTAGATAACTCGCAGCATTTAATCTATTTTTTGAGACTCATTTTTTGTGTGCATCATCTCCTTTTGTTAAAGACGGTTTGAAATAGAAATGTACCCAAGCTCCATGGGAGAGAAGCCTGCAGTGGCATCCATGGTTTGTTTTGCTTTATTTTTTCTGTTGAGAATCAAAGCTGAACACAGAACCCAGGAAGTAGAGAGGCATTTTTCTGTTAACCAGACTCCAATTTTCTAGTAGCAGGGGAAAGCTGGTCTTCATTATAAAGCCAACACATAAGTGGCAAGGCTTAAGTGTTCTAGTTTAGCCATGATGAACTCAGGAAGAGATTAGGCAGTCACATGGGCAGCTTCCAGAGAAGCTCAGCATCCCCTTATAATAGGGACCATGCTTTGGTCCTTAGTGCAAATTAGAACTGCATATTCTCATTCTCCCAGAATAAGTGAGGTGGGAGACCAGGGAAGAGCTGGATGCCAGCCATCTCAGTGAAATATCTCAAAGCATACTAGGAACATCAGTTTTGTGGTGGAGCAAAGCAACTAGAACAAGGCTGGAAGTATGATACTAGAAATTATGACCATTTCGTCAGGTATCTAAAAGCAGCAGGTGACTGATGTGAGTGGAAATGAGACAGATTGCTACAGCCAGATCTCTCTATAAATACATTGCAGTATCAGGACAAACCTCATTGCATGCAAAGCTGACCACTTCTGTAAAAATCGGGGCTGTCCCATATTCCACAGAAAGCTTCTCTGCAGCTCAGAGATTAGGGCATCGTGGTTTTGATTTTAACAGAGAGGTAGCATTGGTAAGCCTCTCCGCCATGGACCCTGAATCAGGTACTGTGATGCTGTTAATGTTATTTTTGCTTCTTTGTCTTCATATAAAGATAAAATGCTTTTCAAGTGAAATTTCAATTCGTCTCTAAGGTTCTCAGTATAGTATCAGTACAGAATTCTGTGAAATTTTCAGCTTAATGGAAATATATTTCCTTGTATTAGTTTTGAGATAAGTTCTGAGTTCTACCTAGTGCGTGAAAGTATTACCTCACATACAGAGCCACTTTTCCTTTCTAGTAGCTTTTGCACACCGCAGCACAGAAACTCTTGAGGTAAAAGCCACTGAATGTAGGTAAAGTGTCTTCAACAAGTATTTGTATTTGCATGTATGAAGTGCAAACACACACACACATACATGCATACACATAACATCACTCAGGCTGACAACGGATGTACCTAGAAATATTCTCCAGCACCACCGCCGCACTCGGTTATGTGGTTCTTCCTAGAAATAAAAAAACAAAATTTTGATCAGTTTTGTGTGTATAAACCACCAAAGGAATGAATGGTTTCTTCACTTTCTACCTTACAGTTGATGCAAAATCTTCCTTTCTTCAAATCACAAATGTTTTAACATCAAAAAGGAGAGCTCACGATCTGAAATAACAGCTTGATAGTGGGTGCTATGTGTGATCAGGACTTGTCTCTACTATAAATAGGTATTTTTTCTTGATGGTTTAACTAATGAAATAGGAAGGACTATCTTTACACTTTTCAGGAAGCAGCTAATTATGCATGCCTCTGAAGCTGAGACAAATTTAAGTAAAAGGATAAAATTGGTGCTACCATGTGCATTTCATGAGACTCATAGCACTCAGAAGGATGTTGTCTATATGTATTAAACTTCTGGTCAACAAGTGAAGTGCTTTCTAAAATCCACCAGGGTAGTTTGGTTCACTTTTACTGTAAAAGGAAAACTATTTAATGTTTTTATAAAAAGACAAAATATAACTGTCTTTCTCTAAGAAACATTCTCACCAGCGATACCTACATCTGTGATGAACTGCAAGCAGCTACATAGCAGTGAAAGAACCACTACTCAAAAAAAGGAATAAAATCAACATAATTACTCAGACTGATGCTGTCCCTGGGAATATTTTATAGTGTAATGATTATTACCTGTCTCTGTTTACAGTTAACAATGATCATAGGTCTTCAGAGAGAGAGT